TTCTTGATTGAAACTGACCCCACTCAAGACAACACTTCAGAAACCGAGTCGATACAGTCCGCAAAGGAAGCGAAAGATAACCCCGAGCACGAGGCAGCAGCGGCAAAGCTTTGGGCTGTATACGTATCGGAGGCAGAGAAGTATGACCGAGGCTTGGTGGAGAGTTGGAAGAGTGATATGGAAGGCATGCTCATATTCGTGCGTGGGCCAGCCAATCTCTGAGTATGCATCTGACCCTTTGGTCAGGCTGGTCTTTTCTCTGCCAGCTTGACGGCCTTCTTGATTGAAAGCTACAAGACACTGAACCCGGACTCCGGGGATACCACAGCGCTCCTTCTTGCGCAAATATCACAGCAGCTGGCTGCTACAGCCAACGGGACACCATTCCAAATTCTGCCGACCGCTCCCTTCAAGCCTGCGGCGAGCTCGCTCATCTGCAATATTCTCTGGTTTATTAGTCTGGGACTCAGTCTCACCTGCGCACTCATTGCAACACTCCTCGAGCAGTGGGCACGCGACTTTCTTCACCGTGCTGACATGCGCTCGACACCAGTCGTCCGCGCACGCGTCTTCTCCTTCCTATACTACGGCCTGAAGCAATTCAAGATGCACACAGTCGTCGAAATAGTCCCTTTGCTTCTCCATGCCTCTCTCTTCCTATTCTTTGTCGGTCTTGTTGCATTCCTCATCCCAGTCAACATCCCTCTCACCGTTGTGGTGGGCGTTATCCTGGCCACCATGACTGTGGTATATGCACTCCTCACCCTGCTACCCCTCATCCATCTCGACTGTCCCTATCGGACACCACTCTCGAGAGGTTTTTGGAGCCTTCGCCACAGTGTAGAGACAGCGTTGAATCGCTGGAACCCACGGCCTGTGGGGCCCTCCCCACATCCAAACGACGGCACCATGGTGGACGCGGTTTTTCGGAAGGCAATGGAGCCATCCCCACAGCGAGTTAGCCGGGACACGAAGGCACTTGTTTGGACAGTGAAATCTCTTGCAGACGACAATGAACTGGAACCATTCCTGGAAGCCATTCCGGACGCCCTCTGGTTTCCTGAGCCATTTCTGTCGTCTCCGGACAACATAGTGCTCGAATGGCCAGGCAGAAGGCGCTATGTCTACGATGACCAAATGCGGTGCTTAATGGAAGATCCTGAGGTCCAGTTGCTTCATCGACTGCAGACCTTCTCCAACAGCTGCTATAGTGGCCTTCTCAGTCAAGAAGTGCAAGCACGGCGTCAAATATGTGCCTACAAAGCAGTATGGGCACTTGGGTGTCTATCTGCTCCCGGCCAACCTACCTTTCCATTCCTGGAGTTTGACCCTTGTGGGGAAGCCCCCATCCATTACGCCCCTTCTGCTGTTGCCATACAGCAATGGGCAAACATGTGCGTGGCCCAGCCAATACTTGAAGAAACCCTGCAACATCTCACCGGCTGCAAATTCCACATGCACACCGGCAATTCCAAAGTCCCAGATTTGAACCTGCTTGCGGGGTGTATGTCCAAGTTGGCTGAATATTCCATCCATCCACCAATTCAACTAACCACAGACAAATTCTACCATCCCTTGACGGCGCAACTTCTGCTGTCAGACATAGAGAACTCTATCGAATATATCCACACTCTGCCATTCTCAATATTCATTCGCTACCTCTCACGCGCCGCAAATTCAGATGTGGTTCCTTATCGTTTCACGACCACCCGTTCTCTTATCCGCCCAAAGGCAATGATCCCCTCCCTACGGTTTCTCTGCGAGACAGTGACAACCACCTTAGGCATAATAATGCAAGTCCACAGGGAGCTTTTCCACGCCGACAAAAATCACCATTGGCTAGACGAGGTCTTCAGAACAATACTGTCATACCGGGAACCTGAAGAGTCCAGCAGTTTACCATGGGCGGTGCTTGACTACCTAAACTGCCGCAAATCCGAGGTTGCGGTCTCCCAGTTAGCATCTGGCCTTTCAAAAGATGCATGGAAAGCTGTACCGCGGTCAATTGGCGCAGAAGCCCGTCGCACACCCACCACATTTTTTGAACACACACCAGTGGACTATTCAACGAGTTCCCTAACTGCTGTGTGGCGATTATGTCATGCACATCACGGTGGTCTGTCTGTTGCAGATCCCTCGGTCTTCGACGAGCTCGTTGACTCGGTTTCAAAAACCAATTTCCCATTGCTCACACCCTCGCTTATTGCGATTGCAAAAAAAATGTTTCTTTGAGGGACTGGCATCCGCAGCTTGGGGGATGTCCGCACAGGACAGAATCTCAGGATTCAACAATCATCGGTTCCCTGCACATACCTCCATCCTAACACCTCCCACCGAGGAAGTCACGGACGAAGGATTAGAGCAACTGAGATTGTCCGTATCTTGGAGATGTACCGAGGCAGGACTGGACACCCTGAGCGAGTTCATCGACCATTGCATTTCTGGTGACTTGCCATACAAAGCGGTGGACACAATGGTCGCAATATCGCCGTCCGTTCACTCGACCATACACCCTGTCCATCAGGTTCGCTTTTCAGATGCTGTACAGCACCTTCTCAACGCTGCTGTTGATTCTACTGAGCGGGAGGCACTGTCACAGCAAATTCTGAATCTCCCAGTATTTTCCATTTATGCGCCAAGTCATATTGCGGAATTTGACCCATATGCATCGACTTACGCATGGCTGGATGACTCTGGCGCCCGAACCACTTTGAAGGCTGCACTGACGGCCTACTTGCCTACAATATTATCAACAAACAAGGATGAAAAGCTTTGTTCCCGTGTACAAAATATAATTACCAATTTGGATGCTCTCCATCTTCAACAAGTAGATGGGGTGATAGGTACGTTCTGTCAAAGATTCTTACCAAGCATGCTCATTTTTTTGCAGCAGAGAATGTTCCCGGTTCCGACGATATGCAACTCAATCAGGAACTGGTATCACGCACATAAGTTCTTGAAACGGGGGATAGCATTCGTGGATAAGACTCAGGATAATATATTATGTTGGGTATGACTCAGCGGCGCTCACGCGATATCCGCAGCTCCCCACTATTCTTTGGCTCATAAGTACATTGAATGTAAAAAAAAAACATGTCTCGCCAGTACAGCACCAGTCTACATTCTTTCAGTGCAGTTTTCTTGCTGAATCATCCCATGGGGCCGCGAGGACAGGACTTAAATTCAAACACTGCTGGAAAACAGTAGGTAGGCAGTTTTCGAACAGTCATCAGCCCGCACATCTTAGGTTGCCACGTTCGCCTGCGTTGGCTGTACACTAAACCAGTCCCCACGGATTGTGGGAGATCATCATTGAATTCTGACTGCGTCGATAACGATTGCTGGGAAAGTAGCGGTTTTTGACTCCCCCCTGGAACATGGTAGGGTTCATATCCCCTTATGTATCCCCTTATGCGCTTCCACGAGCAACCTGTCGGATACTAATGGTACTTTTGAAACATTTGATTCAGGGGGGTAATTTTTGTCTCGGGAAGCTGCTTGTGGTTCAATGTCAAAGGCCAGAAGGTTCAATGGCTATCCTACATCATGGCTGCACCATGATACAGTCCCCGTGGATCATGGCAGATCACCCCATTCAATTAGACGTTCATCGCAGGGCAGTGGGAAGAAGGCGGTTCGACTCCGCCCGGGGGACGTGGCGAAGGCAGTTGCTTTTTCTTCCTGGTATTCCCATCTTTGTGGTGTTGTGTTCCTCTGTACAGAGAAAGGGATGTCCCTTTTTCTTTCTGCCAGGGATTCACATTAGTAGGCAGCCTGCCTTGTCTATCCTACCTATCCTATCCGACCTATCCTCCTACTTATCCTGCCTCAGGTGCAGTCCAAACAAGTCCCCGTGGATCGTGGCAGATCATCCTGATCCAATTCCGTTGCTGAAAGCCAATTGTTGGGAGGCCGGCGGTTCGAGTCCGTCCGGGGACATAGGACTGCGTTCACATTTTCTTCCTTGTGTGCTTCGCCGGCACGAACATATAGCGACTCGCTTCCTATGGTCGATGCCGTAAAGATACATTTCACGTTTTAACTTCTGGCTCGGAAAGCCGATGGTTGAATTTTGGAGTTCCATATCTGTTCTGTCTGACAGGCCTCAACTGCACCATGCTACAGTCCGACCGAATCACATCAGTAACCAGCCTGCCTTCTCTATACTACCTATCATCTTATCCTGCCCAGCTGCCTTGTAAACAAGTCCCTGTAGATCGTGGCAGATCACCGCGATTGAATTCGAGAGAGCACTTATCGTCTCGGGGAGGTGGCGGTTTGACTCCGCCCGGGGACATGAGGGTTGCGAATCTTTTTCTCGGTCTGTCAAGGGGATAGAGACGTTCAATTTGGTCCAGTGTGCTTCACTTGACTTGAAGTCAACTTGAGGTTGGGCGTTTTATCTCCTCCCACCACCATAAATCTGCATTTCTTCGATCGTTGGACATGTCCGCTCAATTGTTCAACTTGTCGTTGACACTAGCCTGGATAGTCGACCCTTGCGTCCCTGGATGAGTCCCCATGGATCATGGAAGATCATCCTGATCTAATGCCACTGCCAGCTCATTGTTAGGAGGACGGCGATTCGACTCCGCCCGGGGACATACGGTACGATTGAGAAATCTTTTGGTGTGGTGGTGCTTCTGGCTGACTCAACCCATGACGTGCTCCCTGTGACTACGTACCGATCCACAGAAGAACCCGGTAGGACACTTCATCGAAATACCGCTACAGTATATCTTATGTCCGACCAATTCGAAAGAGGGGCGGGCATATTTTTTTTTTTTTTCAAAATTGAACACGCTTTGGATCCTAGGTTGCCCGAGGTAACTGTACCAAGGTCCCCGTGGATCGTGGTCAATCATTCCCACAAAATTCATAATATCGGAGGCGGCGGTTCGATTCCGCTCGGGGTCATAGCTGCGCGCATATGATTTTGTCTAAGAATGATGAGCACCGAGCGCACTCCATGATTCCCGCGTCTTCACTGTAACAGACACGTCCCCGTGGATCGTGGTACATGGATCATCCCAATTCCATAATCTGGTATGCTTCGGGGAATTACTATTGGGAGGACGGCGGTTCGACTCCGCCCGGGGACATACAGGGTGTTCATAAGTCAGTGGTTTTTTCTTCTTTTTGCTCTCTGTGTCGCGTTGGAATCCGGCGCAAGGTAATTCTCCTTGCATTGGAGTCTTTTGTATTGGTAGTGCGCGGGAAAGAGAAGCACTGTCCTCTCATTTTCAGCAACCAATGCAGACCACTTGACCAACTTCAACATCACCTCAGCTACCTCAGACGCACCATGAACAACTCCCCGTAGATCGTGGCGATCCGCCCGTTTGGATTCGTGAAAGCACACATTGTCTTGGGGAGCCGGCAGTTCGATTCCGTCCGGGGACATGATTGGCGCAGCGCTTGGCTTTTTTATTCGTATTTATTGCGGCCCAGGTCAGTAACACGAACAACGGACTAGTCGTTTGCCGTGGCCGATACCTTCAAACGTTTCATTTAGGGGGTAAATTCTGTGGTGGTTGAATTTCGGAGTTTGATGCATATCCTACCACATACCTCAGCTGGGTTAATTGTATCATGAACAAGTCCTCGTGGATCTTGGTACATCACCTCGATCAAATTCACGGCTAGCAGATTGTTTGGGACGGCGGTTCGACTCCGCCCGGGGACATAGTCGCATGCGACAGCATCTTTTTTATTATCCAAATTCCAACGATCCCAAGATTCAAAACCACTTCTACTGAACATAGTCGCTGCGCGACAAGTTTTCTTTGGTTCACGCTATTCCTGGAACCCACGCCTAACCCACGTTTCAACCGCGGCGTCATCGTCTTGGATTCGCCGATCATCCTTACTTCCTTCTTTACTCCTTCCTTCTTCCCTGCATCGATACCGGCTACTGATCCTGACATCCCCGCAATCGCCAACCTAACCTAAGCAGGCCCCCGGTCACTTGGGGTTAACTACTTCCGCCAAAAGTGCCAAATTTTGGTTGATTTACTTTACGATTTTTGGGCCTGAGGTCGTTGATTTACTTTACGACGGAGCACTTTGGGCGCTAAAAATAGCCGAAAATCACAAATTTCGCCCAAAGCGAACGATTCTCGCGGATTTGAACCATAAGGACCCCTTCCTGTGCCCAATCAACAACACACTAACGATTTAGAACGAAACCGTGTAGACTCGGTGCCAGTCTCTACGTTGAGCAACAATCCTAGGAGTAGTTTGCAATAAAAATTAAGGCAAACGGGCAAAAACTGAGAGAGAAAAGAAAAAGTGGCGGCAGGGTTGCTCGAACGTAGAGACTGGGAGAACTTAGTAGGGAAATGTCACATCAAAGTTGTACGTAACTTAATCAATCTGACTTAGAAAATTTTCGACGATTTTTTCACCGGCTTTCCCTGCACATACTCTGGCCTTAATCTGAAGGGTACAAAAGTTGCGGGCACTTGCGGCGGTACGTTCTATCCCAAAACATCCACGGAAATCGCGTTACACAGTGTTCAGGGACACATTTCAGTAAAAGTGGGCCGACATCCACTACCTCGCCCAAATGCACCTCTGGCACGTCGTCATCGCGTTCTTGGCGATCCACCGGACTGTGGTACCGACCACCGACACTCACAGCTCTCTTACCCACCCATATCCGTGCCTATCCATGCCCTCTGAGGACACATTCACGCCCGGTCGTGGCTCTCGCACACCTTCTCCTGGCCCAGTACAGCAGCCATCTTCAGGGCCTAATCCGACGTTCGATCCCTCTCCTCCCAAAAAGAGGGGTGGCCAGCCGATGTCCACCAAAGTCAAGCGACAGAGATTGGACAAAAAAGCGGTCGCCAAGGAACAAGAGAGCTGGACCCCGGAACAGACAGCGGCAGAACAGAGCCGGATCATGCAGCAAAAACTTGCAGAGGCCGCGGTCGAAAAGGCAGCCAGAGATGCAGCCGCAGCGGCGAAAGCCGACCGAGAAAGGACAGTGCGCGTCCAAGAAGCTCTCCGGGCGCTAAAGAAAGCCGGCTGTCAATCCACGTACCAGTTCTTCGACGACTTCTTCAGCAGCACAGACAGTGAAATCTCGAAGCAGGCCTCGCGTCTCATGCACGACCATGGCACGGATCTTCTTGATCTCCTCCATGCGAAACGACCTGCAATAGTCGAGAGATGGGCCCTGAAAGTCAGCCTACCAGTGATAGCAGCAGAGGGTGCGAATCTGGTGGCGGCACTTTCTCCAGACCCGACGAAGACCTTCACCTCTCGGTTGGAGACGTGGTCGCTGGAAAAGATGCTGGCAGAAGCAACGATTGCCGCCCCGAATCTGTGTGAACTTCTCATGCTGATGGGGATGACATCTGACGTTGGCCGAGAGGATAACAAGCTGGTGAGTGCCGACGCGATCCGTCGAACATCTCTCACGGATTTCATAGGTGCTCGTGACCGTGTTATCCATGCTCGCGCAGGCTCAAAACGAGCGGTCGAATGAATTTCAAGCAACAATGGGGACCTATTTCCTTGCCTGCAGCACTCCCCGCCGTCAATTTGATGTTCTTGCGCATGCGGGCTTGACCGTGTCGTACACCACAGCAATCACCAATCTGAAGGGGCTTTCGGCAGAAGGGCTGCTGCGTCTACGTCGGATGGTGCAGGAGAAGGCCTGCATGATAGTCTGGGATAACCTGAACATCGCATTCAAGGTTGGCGAGCAGCGCCACAATTCCAAGGACACATTTGAGAATGGCACGACAGCCACACTCATCGTTCTCTATGGGGTCCTGCGTGGCGAGCTCGAGCTCGAGCTATTGGAGCCCCGAAACAGTCGAAAACCTGTCCTCAGTTTCGAGCCGATGGACACACTTCCGAACGTCGAACAGATCATTCAGACGCGACGGTCGGCATTATGGCATGTCCGTCGAACTTTCCTCGAACGCTACCCGGCACTGGCCGCCAAATTCAAGGATGAACTGGGCGACATTCCCGTCATCCAAGCCATTCCCCTTCATAAATCTGAACATTTCCCAACGCCAGCCATGAAGATTGACGAATCGAGTCTTGACGGCACGATAGATGTCATCGACACAATGATAACTCGCACTCTTCAGTTGGACGCAGCTGGGATGCGTGCACATGGTGTAATGTTTGCTGGTGGTGACCTCCTCAGCCTGAATCTCACCGATAAGGTGCAGTTTCATTAATTTTTAAACTTGTTTTGACACGTTCCTCACCCGCTACAGGCAATCGCGGCCCGGCGCGAAGACACAGAACTCTTGGATGCATATGGAAAATACCTCACAGGCATGCTCGGCCTTTTCCATGTCAAGTTATCAGGGACCCGCGGCACCGTGAACGAGCACTGGGGCGAGCCCAACTCCAAGTTTCCGGGCTCCCTGTGGTCGCAAAATAGTTTCCTGTCGAGGAAGTCTATTCCCGCTGGATGGAAAGCGAAAAAACTACCTCCTTTTCGGCCGACGTATGAGCTTATGCTGACGCTTTCCCTTCCAGCTCACATCCTTGACGGATTTCGCATCTATTGCGGAGCTGAATCCTTGGATGCGTGGGCCGAGTCGGATCTCAGCTGGTCCAGAATTGAATCCGTCTCGGAAATGGTTGTTGAAAAACTTTGCTCAGCTGGCACTGTCGAGGAACTGCGCCTTCTTCCAGAAGCCGAGCGGGATCCACAACTTGAAAACACCATTCTTTGCAACCACGACATGCTCCTTCTTCTTCTTTTCACGACGTCAATCAAGTCGGGAGATGTCGGCATGGTTGTAAATATACTGGCTCACTGGATGGTGATGTTTCGGGGCACGGGTTCCATGCCGAAGTATGCGGATGCCCTATTTGAACTGATCAATAATCTGAAGCGTTGGCCGCCTGCTCTCCGGTAAGCCTTTTTTTCCCATGTGGTTCGGAATATCTTAATCGCGCCACAGGGATGCATATTTGAACAACTGGCTCGTTAATCTGTCGGGCAAAATCAAGGCGTTCAAAGAGATCGACCTTTTGCAGGAGCATCAAAACTTCTGGGCCAAGGTTCGTGTATATCCCGCCACTTATGCCGTCTTCCATTTATTTCAACAGGTCATCTATAATGCGAGAGGGTCCAATCGTAGTTGGGACTGGTTGAGCATGATTACCGTGGTCATATTCAACCTTCGGGACGTCATGCGCAATGTGCAGACCCAGTTCAAAATCCCCCACCACGGCATCTCTCACACAAGTCCCAACGCCGCCGTGGATATCGCAAATTTGCAGGGATGGCTTGAGCTAAACAAGCTGCAGACTTACGTCAAAGAGCGCCCGGGCAAAGATGAGATTATTCGTGTCCGCGATCTCATGGTCACAGGTGCCGCCTACGCCAATACTCCTGGCGCATTCAAGAACTTTCGGCGAGAAACACGCAAGGTATCATACAAGCAAGTCTCTGCGGCGTCTAACGACAGTGAGTCCGACGAGGAAGAGGAAACAGTGCCACAGGAAGACACACAGCTGGACGAGGTTGTGCAGGATGATCTCATGCACGATGATGAAGACTTCACGCACATGGCAGATGACCTTCTGAATATGGCTCAAGATGTTGTCGGAATAATGTAATGATACAATTGTCCACCATGCTTCCGATGTAAATTAGCCAGCGCTACGACCTCTCCTTGGGGGCTGTGCACTTGCAGCTGCAGTTGCACGCCGTGCTCGTGAGCGTGATCCTCGTCCAGCCTGTCCACGCCCTTGACCACCACGCCCACGACCCCTTCCGCCGCCGTCAAGAACAGTGGGGCCGGGTTGCTCGGGCTGGGCCCTATCGGGCTCAGTGTTTGCGTCATAGTCTTGGAAGATGCGTTGGAGTTCCTGCAGAAGCTTGGGTCCGTGGTCAGACATCAAGTACCAGCGTGCACGTCGTTGTAAATTGCCGATTGTGTCGACACGCTCCCCACACATGGCCAGCTGTTCGATGGTGGAATCGGGCAGAAGAGCGGATCCCGTCATCGAAAACGCAGCCTCCTTCGACGGATACAATTTCGGCATTAGTACTTCGCGACTCCATTTGCGAAGACCGGTGCGAATTAAATCCGACAATTCTGTCGGAAACTTACGC